GAGAGAGAGAGAGAGAGAGAGAGAGAGAGAGAGAGAGAGAGAGAGAGAGAGAGAGAGAGAGAGAGAGACCCCGGTCATGGCCGCGGTCCTCGGCTATGAAAAAAAAATAAAAATCAAAAGAATCCAAAAAATGTCGTTGAAATTTATGTTATGCATAAAAATAAACTGATCTACTTTTGCCTTGAGCTCATATTCAAACACATACGTTCCATAGTTTTTGCGGTCGGAAAAAATAGTTTTTTGCCGAAGTTAAAAATAAAAAAAATTGCGCAATTTGGTACTTACATATCGAAGAGATCTGCAACCTAATGTTTTTTGTTTATTTGTGCATTTTTTCAAGTCTCAAAGAATTCCAAAAAGGTGCGGCCACACCCAACCGCGGTCGTAGCTGCGGCGGTCGTGATCACGTCCGCCCTCCGAGTTTGACCCCGCGGACGCGACTGAGGGTGTTTCGTAGCTCAACAACGAACCACGTATGTTTATGCGATAGAGACGTCCTGCGAGGCGACGTTACTGTCTACGTCGACACCTTCGTCTGAGTCGCTGCCATCACGCACGGACGTGTCGCTGAACCGAAGACGCGATGGCTCGAGCGGCGAACCGGGACTCCTCGACCCGCCGCCGACGTCTTCGTGAGGAGCGACATCGCTCGCCTCATTTTTGTCTCTTCTCAACAACAATGCCTCGACTTCATCACCTGTGTCCGAACCCGCACCGACGTCGACGTCGGTCACATCAACAATGCCCTCATCACTATCCCTCTGCTGTAGATAATCTCTCGCCCAATCTCCCACTCTAGGAGTACCGAAAACAGCACGTGATATATCAAAACGCCATGAACCGTCGTGCGGCCCGTGGAGGAGGCGACGTGCCGACCTTCGACGATGACCAACGCTCGACTCTTTCCGGTATGTAAAACCCAACGGAGAGCGCCGTCGGTTTTTGTTCCAGTCGAGAGCCGTGATAGACACCCTTGCTTCATATGACTTCGCAAAGTTCAATCTCTTTGAACAGTACTTGTTGATAACTGAGTGGAAGCATTTGTTTTCGTAAGTCATTCGGGCACAAGTGTAGAATGACATCTTCGTGACGGAAGCAAACTGTTGCAAACAATGCTCGACGGACTTGTGACACTTCCCGCCCAACTCATACAAAGGCTCACGCTCAACCCCTCCAACCGCTTGACACAGACCTGGGATGTCGGTAACGCAAAGCGAATGGTCGTCGGCCCAATGATGCGCTATGTGGTTCACATGTTTGGCAAGAAGATCTCCATCGTCGTCCTCAGCTCTCTTTCGCAATTTACATGCACCGTAAAACCATTCTTTCAATTCTTGGGCAGCTTCCGTATGCAAGTCCTCCAGTGCATCGTTCTCGACAACATCAATTGGGAGGGGCTTCCCCTTCTCCGACGGATGAAGCTCCCACCACACCACTTCTACGATAGTTTTTTTTTTCGCTCTGCGCCCCCCACGCACGTCTACACCCCTTGATCGAAGTGAAATCTCCAGTTCTTTTTTTGTGAACATCTTCACTTCTCGCACATGCTCACAAGCGCCGACTGCTGGTGGCTTCACCGTCTTCGTGCCTCGCAACGCCTCACGTAGCCTTTTCAACAAACTCTTTGCCTTATGCCATATACATTTCTGCGAATCAATTCCCATGTTGCGGAGAACGACGTCAACAGCAGCACAATCATCATGTACAACTTCGGCAATCACAAAATTTTTCTCCTTAGTCAGTCGTTCCAGCAGAAGTTCAACACATCTTTTCTCCAGCCTCCACGATGACAACTCTCCCTTTTTCAAAGTCTCCGTGCCGACTACAAGACGGGAATGCAACTTCATGGCCGTTACCGTACAATGCTGCGCATCCTGGGAGGAGTCGCATCTGTCGTCGAGCAAAATGACAACGGGTTCATCGGACGATTTTAGATAAGAGATGATGCGATTGTAACTTTTCTCAGCCACACGTTCGACATGACGAATCCACTGTCGTGACCCACGCCCCTCTTCACGAAAAAACCGGTAGAACGTCTCTTCCCCTACACTCTTCATTTCAAACCCACGCATCAAATTGTTGAGTTGCGTGTAGGTCATGCCTGCGCATACGACGGAGTGAAACAATTGGGCTTCAACTCTAGAACCGCCGACCCCGACACCAAACTCGACCTTTGTTGAGCTTCAATGCCATGTGCAACCTTTGGTGCACCGAAATTGCACTTCGCAAATATGACAAGGGTACGAGATACTATCCACTTCCACTTCAACGTCTCGACCATGTTTTGGGCACGATTTGTCAAACATACCTAAGATTTGGAGAAGCTTCACGGGCTCCAAGAATAAAACATCCGGCCGTGCCTTCGCATTCCACTTCACCATGTGGTCATGCACTGTAAGACGATCGTGCATTGGTCCATCATCTTGGAAACCTGGTTTACCATGGGGTGAATGTACAGGACACAATGGCAGAAGCAGGGGGCGACACACACACACACACACACACATACACACACACACACACACACACACA